AACTCCTTGCCAGAGGAGGCGGTGAAGGCTAGGACTATAACAGAGTTTAAAGAGAAGCTAGATAATATCATGGAGGTTAGGTCCATAAAAGGCTATTAGCCAGGGGATAGAAATGGTGTCCCTGGCCTCTGTTTTTCAGAGGCTGGAGAGGGATGGCAGGAGACAAATCGCTTGATCATTGTCTTCGGTCCACCCTCTCTGGGGTATCTGCTGCTGGCCACTGTCAGCAGACAGGTTACTGGGCTAGATGGACCTTTGGTCTGACCCAGTATGGCCGTTCGTATGTTCTTATGTTAAGAGGGGCGTCTCCATCTCCGGGCAGGGAGGAGGCAGAGCGGAGCCTTCAACGGAACAGTAACCATGGCAGCCGCTGCTGGACCAATTCCCCTTCCCGTTCCAGCCCCTTCCGCGTGGGACGAGCAGCGCAGACCCCAACCGTGCAGCCTCACAGCCTGGGGCTCTCACCCCGCTGCTGGTCAGGCCTGGCACTCACGCTGCCCCCCTTTCCCACAGCCAGTCTCCGGGTGCACGGCCCACCAGCCCTATGGCACCTGGGGCCACCCCGAGCAGGGCTGGGAGGGACACTGTTGCCACCGGTGACGAGACAGGCTGCTAGCCTGCATGGCTGCTCTCAGGCCTCTGACTGGTGCCACGTGCGAGAGCTGCCCGGCCCCAGAGACACGGGACTTGAACTCTGAGATCACACTCAGTAAACACTCCCATAGCTGTGAGACACGGCGGCTTCTTGCCAGCCCCTCAAGGCGACGGCAGAGGCAGGGCCAGGCCTGGCGAACGCCTGTGCTAGAGCAGGACAGCGGCACTAGTGTCTCTGTTGCTATGTGAGACGTAGTGGGGGGTACCTTGCCAGTTGCTGTGCTGGGCGGTGGGCTGTGGGTGACCCCCACTGGCTGCTGGCTGCAGCGCGGCCCAGCAGGGCAGGGGATGAGTCACTATGCAAGGGGGCTCCAAACCTGTCTGACCAGCTACCCCCCAGGGAGCGGAACAATGGGAAGAAGGGGAGTGGAGCCCTGGCTGGGGGCAGGGCTGGAAGTGAGGGAGTTAGGGAGGTTTCTGGCTGGGATCATGGAGGAAGCAGCCTAGGCAACGGGCTGGGATTTAGGGGCCCAGGCTCCCCCATCTCAAGAGGGGCTGATGCAAGGGGGCTCCAAACCTGTCTGACCAGCTACCCCCCAGGGAGCGGAACAATGGGAAGAAGGGGAGTGGAGCCCTGGCTGGGGGCAGGGCTGGAAGTGAGGGAGTTAGGGAGGTTTCTGGCTGGGATCATGGAGGAAGCAGCCTAGGCAACGGGCTGGGATTTAGGGGCCCAGGCTCCCCCATCTCAAGAGGGGCTGAGGCATCCTAGGCCTGCCTTGTTACCAGATTCCATCTGTGCTGTGCTGTATCCTGGAGAAGCAATAAACTCCCTCTGTTCTACTGGCTGGGGGGGGGT